CCCCTCACCACTGTCCCCACCAACACCGTCCCCACCACTGTCCGCACCCCCACTCGGTTTTCGAGGGGGGGGGGTTCGAACCGGTAGTGACCCCACCCGGTTTTCCGGATCCGGAGGGGGGGGGGGGGGTTCGAACCGGTAGTGACCCCCCCCCCTTTTCATGATGAGCAGGGGGGGGGGGGGAGGGGTTCGAACCGGTAGTGACCCCCCCCGGTTTTCCGGAGGGGGGGGGGGGGGGAGGGGTTCGAACCGGTAGTGACCCCCCCGGTTTTCCGCCAGCAGCGGTAGAACACGCTCTTTCAAATTTTGGCAACACAACAAAAAAAACGACATGCGCGCGCGGTCGACGCGCGAAGGTCCGCACGGTATGAATTATTTGACACGGATCGTACCCCCCCCCCCCCCCCCCAAGGCCCGTTTGGCATGACTGAATGGACGCGTTGACAAACATATGGCGTGCTTGAGAATTCGCCAGGCCGCGAATGCAGGGTTTCTTGAAAACTGGCATTGCAAAGCAATGTTTGAAATCTGTACGACGCTGGAACTATTGGAAAGATTCCGGCACGCGCGCGCGACGATGCGCGCGCGTGCAGTTCATCCAGCTTTTTGCAAGGGGCTCTGGCGACAGCGCGCCCGCAAGGGCGTTGCTGTGCTGCCGACGCGCGCGCCGATTGTTTTCTTAAGGGCCCGTAAGAGCCCGGGCGCAAGCTTTTTGTTGACCGTCCTCGTTGGGGAACCGGGCGCTTCATATGTTCTCGGGACACTCGATTGAAACAACCCTGCGAAGCCCAAGGTTTTTGAAGGATTTCGGCACGCGCGCGCACTTCGTCTCATGTGTTGCGAGGGATCTTAGAAAACTGATGAATCTGGATAAAAGACTGCGACCGCGTAGTAATTTTTGGCAGAGGATGAAAGAGGGGGGGTGCCGGCCCGGCCGTGATGACGTGAATTCTTATCTATGATGGACGATGGGGCAGAAACATACGTAGATTGCGATGCGAATAAGGGGCACCGTTAAGTTCAGGAGGGGGAGGGGCGGGGTCCGCTGCGGCGCAACCACTCGCGCATCCCGCGGCCCTGCCGCGCGCCGCGCCGCCGTCGACACCGAGGCCCCAGTGCTGGGCGCCGAGGCCCCGCTGCTGCGGGGCCCCAGGAAAGGCGTCGAACTCTGTTTCTCCTTGCTGAAGTCGAACCATAGCTTGCGCTCTACACCCAGTTCGGCGCAAAAGCGAAACGTTCCTAGCCCGTCGCTCTGCCCCGAGCCCGCGGCGGGCGGTTGCGCCGTGTCCGCGAGGTGCGAAAAAGGCCAGAGCGTCGACCGTCCTGTCGCCCCAGCGCGGGTGCAGGCGGACGCCTCTCCCGTCGTCACGACGCAGCACGAAATCCCACATCGGTAGATTCACTCTAACCCGCTGCCCCGCGAACTATCGCGCGGGCACGACGTTCTGGCGCTTATTGTCGAAGGAGCGGCCGATCAGAGCCCCGCTGCCGCGCCCCCCCCCCCCCCCCCGCGACCTCCCTGATGCCTTCGTCCCTGAGCGTCGCCGCCATCTCTTGCCACCGCCAGGGGACTGCCTCGTTTCTCTTGGAATCGAAGCTCGTTCCCGCACCGCGGTCGCAAACGGCGGCCATGGTGGGCCCCGCGTTCAGGCGACTGGAGCGGCTCTGTTCCGTCTCTTTGTTCCCACATGTTTCGTGGGGTTATGGTTTTCTTCCCTGCCGCGCCGCACCCGCGTCTCACACCTCCCCCCTCCCCTCCTCCTTTTCCCCGCGTGCTTCGTGGGGCTATGGTTTTCTTCCCCACATGCTTGGTGGGGTTCTGGTTTCCCCCAAATGTTTCGACACCAGAGAGGGTGCGCAGGGGGGGGGGGAATCCCTGAGCGCGGTCTCTATGCGCGCCAAGGTCGGAGAGCGCAGCGGCACGTACATGGGACACGCGTAGCACACTTCACAACAGAGCGCAGCGCAGCACAACACAGCACTGCTCAGCACAGCTCAGCTCAGCTCCGTCGCGCGCTCGCAAAGCGCGGCAGGCGTGGTAGACCATCGACACGGGACGGGGGGCGGCCGCTATCCGTGCCAGTCGTCCAGGCATAGCAGGCGTGGCACTTTCTCGACACCATAGGGGGTGCGCAGGGGGGGTGGTCCCTGAGCGCAGACGCTATCCGTGCCAGTCGTCCAGGCATAGCAGGCGTGGCAATTTCTACACACCATAAAGGGGGTGCGCAAGGGGGGTCCCTGAGCGCGGCCGCTATCCGCGCCAGTCGTTTAAGCATAGCAGGCGTGGCACTTTCTCGACACCATCGGGGGTGCGCAGGGGGTGGTCCCTGAGCGCGGCCGCTATCCGTGCCAGTCGTCCAGGCATAGCAGGCGTGGCACTTTCTCGACACCATAGGGGGTGCGCAGGGGGTGGTCCCTGAGCGCGGCCGCTATCCGTGCCAGTCGTCCAGGCATAGCAGGCGTGGCACTTTCTCGACACCATAGGGGGTGCGCAGGGGTGGTCCCTGAGCGCGGCCGCTATCCGTGCCAGTCGTCCAGGCATAGCAGGCGTGGCACTTTCTCGACACCATAGGGGGTGCGCAGGGGGTGGTCCCTGAGCGCGGCCGCTATCCGTGCCAGTCGTCCAGGCATAGCAGGCGTGGCACTTTCTCGACACCATAGGGGGTGCGCAGGGGGTGGTCCCTGAGCGCGGCCGCTATCCGTGCCAGTCGTCCAGGCATAGCAGGCGTGGCACTTTCTCTAGCGGGGGTGCGCAGGGGGTGGTCCCTGAGCGCGGCCGCTATCCGTGCCAGTCGTCCAGGCATAGCAGGCGTGGCACTTTCTCGACACCATAAGGGGTGCGCAGGGGGTGGTCCCCGAGCGCGGCCGCTATCCGTGCCAGTCGTCCAGGCATAGCAGGCGTGGCACTTTCTCGACACCGTAAAGGGGGTGCGCAAGGGGGTGGTCCCCGAGCGCGGCCGCTATCCGTGCCAGTCGTCCAGGCATAGCAGGCGTGGCATTTTCTAGAAACCATAAGACCATAAGGGGATGCGCACGGGGTGGTCCCTGAGCGCGGCCGCTATGCGTGCCAGTCGCCCACGCATAGCAGGCGTGGCACTTTCTAGACACCATAGGGGGTGCGCAAGGGGTGGTCCCTGAGCGCGGCCGCTATCCGTGCCAGTCGTCCACGCATAGCAGGCGTGGCACTTTCTAGACACCATAAAGGGGGTGCGCAGGGGGTGGTCCCTGAGCGCGGCCGCTATCCGTGCCAGTCGTCCAGGCATAGCAGGCGTGGTACTTGCTCGACACCATAGGGGGTGCGCAGGGGGTGGTCCCTGAGCGCGGTCGTCTCTCTCTCTCTCTCTCTCTCTCTCTCTCTCTCTCTCTCTCTCTCTCTCTCTCTCTCTCTCTCTCTCTCTCTCTCTCTTTATATATTATATATATGTATATTTCTCTCTTTATGTATATATATGTGTATCCACATACACACACATATACATATATAGGTATATACACAAAGAGGGTATATACATATATATATATATATATATATATATATACACACATATATATGTTTATATACACATATTTATATACATACATACATACATACATACATACATACATACATACATACATGTATGCATGCATACATGCGTACATACATATATATGTATGTATGTTGCGCCCCGGGGCCGGACCAAGATGCAGAACATGCATTTCTCAGGGCTGGGACCACGGAAGGCCCACGCAAGTTTTCTGCTTCCAGGGAGCCCAAGGAGCCCAGGGAGACCCAGGGCCATCCGCTATCCGCCCCGCAGTCGGAAAACGTGGCAGGCGTGCCACTTTCTCGACACCATAAGGGAGCGCGCAAGTGCTTAGTATACAAACACAAGAGATATAAAATAGGTGTGTGGGGTTCCTCGGTAGCGTAATTTGCGCGTGACGCCACCGTTTCAGCGATTGGTTGCGCTGTTGATACGAGTCGCCGAACCCCTCGCCATAATTTCCGCAAAAATCGACGTCGAACCGTTCGCGCCACAGGGGGCTGCGCGCCCCCGCTGCTGCGAACCCCTGCGGCGCAGGGGTACGCGACCCCCCCACTCCCCCCCCTCTTCCCCCTCTTCCTCCTCATTCCAAGGTCGTGGCAAGTTTCGTTTGGCAGCCCTTTCGAAATTGTCCCGCTGGGGCATGCCCAGGCCAGGGGCGCGGGGGATCGCGGCGCCAAGCGCAGGCGCGGCGAAACGAGACAGCCGTTGAGGCGCGACCGCCGCCGCTGCTGCGGCGGCGGCGCCGACCAATCTGACCAAACTCCGTCCTCTGACCAATCTCGCCGGCCCCGCGCTGACCAATCATGGCCGACGCCCTTGCCATGGCCCCGCTGGCTGCCAGAGGGGGTGAAACGGGCGGGAGAGAAAGAGGAAACGCAGGAGAAGGAGGGTGGCGAGGAAGCGGGAAAGAGGATGCGGAAACATAAGTAGGAGAAGGAGGAAAGGATGAAGGAGGAACCGGAAAAATAAGAGAAGTAGGAGAAGGAGAGGAGGCGAGGAAACGCAGGAGAAGCAGGAGAAGGAGGAAACGTAGAAAGAGGAAACGTAGGACTAGGAGGGCGAGGAAAAACAGGAAAGGGGCCCCTTCTGTCACAGAGGGCCTCCGCATCTCCGAGAATTGCCCTTTTTGTCATAAAGGGGCAACGCTGACACTTTATTAAGGCATTCGGATTGCGGGCGCCAGCATTCTGCTCGGCACAACCTGGACCACCGACGCATGCACCCTTGCCGGCGCAGCGGGAATCACCAACGCCAGCATCTTTGCCCTCGCATCGGGGCGCACGGACGGCAGCATCCTCCTCATCACAGCCTGGATCGCCGTTGCCTGCATCAGCGCAGGCGCAGCGGGGAGTTCCGACGCCAGCGCGCTCCTCAGCACAGCTTGGATCCCCGTTGCCTGCATCCTCGCCGGCGCAGCGGGAAGCTCCGACGCCGGCATCCTCGCGCTTAAAGTTATCGGGGAGTGCGGACCGCAGCACCATTGCCTTCGCAGCCACGAGCTCGCACGTCAGCATATTTGCCAGCGCAGCCAGGAGCAGCAGCGCCAGCATCCTCACCAGCACAAGAAACAACGTCGCCAGCACCATTGTCAGCACAGCCTGGATCACCGCCGCCATCATCTTCGCCATCGCAGCCCGGAGCTCCAAAGACAGCGTCCCCGTTAGCACGAACGGGAGCACCCGACGCGCCCATCCCCATAAGATCCGCCGCAGTGCCCAGATCAGCCAACCCGAGATCGATGGGGGTCCCCTGACTCATCTTTCGTCGCCTCACCCAACGGCCCAAGACTCCCCGAAAGAGCCCGAAGATGGCTCCACGAGGCGAGTTTGGGGGCTCCTCAGGGGGGGTCCAGAACGCCCGGTTTCACTAGATGTGTCCCTTCGCCCTTTTCCTGTTAGCTCTCGAGGTCAGGGTCTCTGAATGGGCTAGCGGGGGCATTTCCTGGTTAGCGGGCGCGCGAAACGGGTCGAACGCCGAGCGTGTTACGGGCTGATGGGTATACTTTTTTGGATCGCGACCGCGGCGAGGCAATCGGGCGGCGTCTATGGGGCGAAACACAGAGGCGACGGCCTAACTTAGCGCACGGGAAGAGGTAAGCGAAAAGAGACAAGATCAAGCAGGGGAAGAAACTAGCAGGAGGCGAGCCTCGCTGCCGATCAGTAGAGAGCGCGCGCCAGGAAGTCCACCCGGGCGACGTGCAGCACCAGGTGGTATATTCGGGTAGCCAATCACGTCCCTGACGAGGAAGACCGCCGGCACAACGTACAGCGAGCCCAGGTCAGAGCGAGGGATGCGGAACACACGACAGCAGGCTACTGACACAGAGGAAAGACTTGACATGCAGGCGCTCAGTGGAAACGATCTGGATCGCCAGACGCCGAGGAGTGTCGGGGGGGCAGCTTGGGCGGGCGCGACCAGGCCACGCTGCACGCGGCGGGAGGGAACGGCCAGAGGGCCGAAGCAGGGTGGGGCCGTGGGCGCCCACAGGCGGGGGCGAGCAGCTGCGCCGCCAAGGAAGCGATATGGCCCAAACAGGGGGCAGGAAGGGGAAGTGCCGACAGGGCGGGCGCAAGCGGCACGCGCCGCCCAGGTGGCAGGAGGGTTCAGCCTCAGGACTGCGCTGGATGCGTCCGTCGACCCCGCGCGGGGAGGCGAGGCAGGCGGCGGGCGGGACGCGGTGAGCGGACCGCCGGGGCGCCCGGGGAGAGACCCCCGCGGAGGGGGTGCCTGCAGACCAGCGCACTGGGCCGGGGGGGGGCCCCTGCGCCATCGCGCGCGGGGTCTGGGGGGATCGGAAAAAGCGAGACGAAGCGACCGACGGTCGCGCGTCTAGTAGAGAGAACGCGCCGCACGAGGCACCGGTGGCGACGAGGAGCCACTAACGGTCGCTGGCTGGGTAAAAAACGGGAACAGGCGGAGAACCGCCGGGGGGGGCGCCCCCCGGGGGGGGGGCCTTGGGGCCGGCCCGCCGGGCCGAGGGGGCCCCCCTGGGCAAGCGGGGACCAAATGGGAGGGGCCCACATGCCGCAAGACCGCAAAGGGAGGCCCAAGCAACGCCTAAAACGGAGCAAGGCGGGTGGGCAGGCGGGGGACAGACGCAGCGGTGACACCCCCCGGGCGCCCCGGCGGTCTCGCGGCAGGAGACAGCGGGGGGGGCGCCGAGAGACCCCATCGCGGTCGCCAAAGGCGGGGGCATGGGGGGCGACCCGGCGCCAGGGGGCGGAGGACCACAAGTTGCCCGGAGCAAGGGCGACCTGGGAGGCCGGGGGCGGGCCGACAGCCCCAACTGGGCGCGCGCCAGGCGGCGCCGGGCGCGAAGCCAGGGCGGCCGCCGGAGGGGGTCGCCCGAAGAGCGAGCGCACAGGCGCACAAGCTGAAGGCGACAAGCGGTCGCAGTTCCTGGTGAAGAAAATGCGCGACGCGGGAAACAATGGCGACGAGAGCGACTAACAGTCGCAGGCTGCATGGGTGGCAAGAACTGGCGGCGGGCCCCTGGAGAGGGTGCCCCCGGGGGGGAAGCCCGGAGGCCAGTGTTTCAGGCCTGGGGGGGGGGGGCCCTGCGGCCTCTCGCGCCAGGGCAAAGCCAGGACGGCGACGCCGCGCAGACCCGAAGGAGGGGCCGCAGGGGCCCACGGCCGCCGAACGGCAAAGGAGTGGCCCGAGTAGCGCCGAGAGCGCAAGGCGGCTGGGCACGCGCCGCGGGGGTCAGACGCGGCGGTGACGCGTAACGGGCGCTCCGGTGGCCTCCCAGTAGGAGCTGGTGGGCGTACATTTTGATCGCGACCGCGAGCAGGCGCCCGCGCGGCGTCAAGAGGTCGCGAAAAGAGCGCAAGCCGGTTCTGTCGCAGGCGGGTCGCAGGAAAAGGGCCGCGATGGTGGCGAGAACTACCGAGCGGAGCACGGCTGCAACGCGGCAGGGGCGAGGGCGAACGAAAGAAACCGGGGGGGGGATGCGGAAGAGCGAAGGAGGGGCGGCGACGAGAGACAATACAGAAAACGAAAAGGCAGAAACCACGGCTCAGTCGTGGAACAAGTAGTAGGTCGTCAGCACCTTGCAAAACTCCCAGTACTTGTCGTAAAGACGCATCAGGTCCCGAGCAAACCCGGAACGCGGTGCCACGGGCGAGGAGACAACGGGCCCGCGGGATGGTAGGCGTGAAATCCTCGTCGACCGTGGTATATTATTTATAAATGAAAACCTCGGTTCATGATCTGCAGATGATACCCTATGGAATATTGTCCTGTGAATGGATCGGGCTCAGCTCCCCCCCCCTGCCGAATCATTATCTTTCAGGAATAATCAACCTAAGTTTACTATGCCAACATTATGAGCCAAGGTTTATTTTAGGCCAGAACGTGCACCCAAACAACGCCCCCCAGGCTGTTCCAGAATTATTAACCCAAGGTCAATAATCCGGGAACCTTTTGAATCTGGGTACACTATTTCCTGGCGATAATGAACCAAGGTCAATATTACGACATGAAAAACCCGGTGGCGCACCCGGGGGGCTTGGGGAAAATAATAATTCCATCATTCCGGGATGACGAAAACCGCGTTCTTTATAATTCCTGGGACATTGTAAACCCCAGTCAATATTCCGGGAACATCATGAGCCCAAGTCAATATGTTTTTGAAGTCGATATCCCCAGAACATTATGAACCATGGTTTATCGTGTTCCAGGGGGAACATTACGAACCCCAGTCAATATCCCCAGAACATTGAAGCCCAGGTTCATAATGTTCCGGGCGAGACATTATGAACCCTGGTCAACACTCCCAGAACATGATAAACCCAGGTTGCTATCGATTTGAGGCCCATCCTGGCCCGAAGAGTGACCAACGGCGGCAGAAGCGAGTGATAGCGCAGGTGCGCCCTTGCTGAAGGTCGCGCAGTACCCCAGGCCAGCTCCAGGGCCAGGCAAGGGAAGTATGGGGGAGCCTCCTATCCCTCGTGCCCCGGGGGAACATGGGGCGACGGGCGCCCGTCAGAGAGAGGCAGCAACAGCTGCCCAGAGCTCGATTACCTTCGGGGGGGAACAGAGGAAGCCGAAGGAAGGTGGGTGCACGCGCCAGGGCCACCGAAAAACAGCCCGGGGCCCACTGGAGCAGCTAACGGCCGCGGTAGCGGAGATGTTTCGCCTGAGACAGGCCGGCGCCCACTGGGGGTGGAGCTGACGGCCGCAGAGCGATGGGGGATTGCATCGCCTGAGACATGCAGCTCTCTGGTAGGGCGCAGCTAACAGCCACAGGAAGGTGGGAAGAAGTTTCGCCTGAGCAGCAGCGAAGGGAAACGGTGCCACCTGAGTCAACCTGAGCCGGAGTGCAGCTAACAGCCGCAGAACGTTGGAGGAATGCCTCGCCTGAGACATGGGGTCCTCTGGTAGGGTGCAGCTAACGGCCGCAGAAGGCGAGAAATTGTTTCGCCTGAGACGTGCAGCCTGGGGGGTACTGGCCGCGCCAGCCAAGATGGGGGGGCGCAGGTAACAGCTGCAGGATGCGGTGAGGTAGTCCCGCCTAAGTCAATGACAACGCCAAGCAGGGGTGCAGCTAACAGCCGCAGAGCGAGGAGGAAATAATGCACCTGAGACATCCGAAACTAAGCCGAAGCGCAGCAGACAGCTACAGTGAGACGGGGGAAGGCACCGCGATTGCTCCGCCTGAGACATCCTGGTTCTCTGGTATGGTGCAGCTAACAGCCGCGAGAATGTGGGACATGTTCGCCTGAGACATGTTACGCCTGAGATGGACCGACGACCAGGGGTGTGAAGTTAGCAGCAGTAGAGCGAGGGGAAATGGTGCCACCTGGGGCAACCTGAGCCGGAGTGCAGCTAACAGCCGCAGAACGTTGGATGATTGCAACGCCTGAGACATATAGGTCCTGGTGCGGTGCAGCTAACAGCCGCAGGGGATATAATTTCGCCTGAGACGAGCAGCCCGGGGGGGACGGGCCGAGCCTGCATAGAAGGTAGGGTTGCCGCAAACGGCCGCAGGATGCTGGGTAGTGGTTCCGCCTGATACGCGATGAAGCCCAGCTGGGGTGCAGCTCACAGCCGCAAAGCGGGGGGTAAATATAACACCAGAGACAACCCGAGACCCAGCTGGAATGCAGCAAACAGCCGCAGTGTGGTGGGGGATAGCAAGGCGCTTGCTACGCATGAGACGTCCCGGTGTACTGGTAGGGTGCAGCTAACCGCCGGAGGAATGTGGGAAATGGTTATCTCTGCCTGAGACATACTGGAGCTTTGCATGGGAGCGGCAAACGGGGGGGTAGCCGAATGCCGCAGACGGCCACGAGCCGGGTGAAGTGGCCAGAAGGATCGTCGAGCCCAACCCGCAGGGAGGGGAGGGGAGCCACAGCCAGATCCACACCAGTGCAGCAGAAGGCCGCAGCGGCGTGAAGCGGGCGGTGGACACAACGGCCGAAGGAGACGACAGACGAGGCGGGGCCCAGAAGGCAACCAACCAGAAGGAGGGTGGAGAGGCGACCAAGGGGGATAAAGGGAGCTGCCAGGTGCAGGAGAAGACCCAGCGAAGCCAGAGGGTCCGCCGGGGGAGGTAGGTGCACCAGGGCGAGGGAGGGACACAGCAGTGGGGGGGCACCAGGAAAAGGCTGGCGACCCAGGCAAGTCCAGTGGGCCAGTCGGCGAAGGGTGAACTGGCCAGGATAAGACCGAGTGCCCGACCCACAAGGAGGGGTAGGGGACCACAACCCGTTCCACCCCTGTGCAGCAGACAGCCGCAACGGCGTGGAGCGGGCGGTGGGCAGGGCAGGCAACTGGTGGCGCCATGCAGCGGACAGTGCAGTTGTGTTGCAGGACGCGCACGAGGTAGCCGCCGTGCCGCTGGTGCCGCTCGTACTGGCCGTGGAACCCAGCTCGCACAGCGTGGGACTGGGTGACCCTGACGTTCCCACAGCGCCGTGTCGCAGTTCGACGTAGTACTGGCCGGCGTGGTGCAGCTCGACTGTGTCGCACCCGAGCTCGTACCGCTCGACGTTGCACTGAACGTCTCGACCCCGCTCACGCTGCTGCTATGTGCCGACGTGGGGCCCACGGTGGAAGTGGCAGAGGACGTCCATGGCTCGAGGCCGTACTGGCCCAGTGCTGCTCGAGGTCTCACTGCGGTACGTCTGAGACGTACTGCAAGCCAACGGCGTGTTGGCAATGCAGCTGTGCTGCTGGTCACGCTCGCACTAGCCGGCGTGGTGTTGCTCGACATTCTGCGTAGTACGACCTCGTTCAAGCTGCTGCTCCCTGTCGCCATGGAGCTCACCGTAGAGGTGGCTGGGACGTCGCATGCTCGAGACCGTACAGGCCATGACTGTGCTGCTCGCAGAAGCACTGGAGAGCGTCTGAGACGTACTGCTAGACAGCGATGCAGTGGAAGTCGAGGTGGTGGACACTGTGGTTGCGCGGCGGGGCACACTCGTGCTGGCCGTCGTGCTGTTGGAGCCGCACTTGCTGGCCTTCGACCACCTCGTCCCGGGCAGCCCGGTAGTGAATGATTCTGTCGTAGCCGTCAGCGTCGAGCCGCTGCACACCGTAGAGCAGGCCGGCGTGGTGCTGCTCGACTGTGCCGCACTGCGCGACGCTGAGCTGCACGCCACGCCCGCGCTCGCGGTGCTGCTCGCTGTCGTCGTGGAGCTCACCGTGGAGGTGGCCGTGGAAGACGCCCTGCGCCTGGCCGTAATGGGCCGCCCAGACTCGCCGATGAGCTCGCCTCGGTCACCGTGGTGTGAGTGACCTTGTCGTATTTGTCAGCGTCGTGCCGCTGCTCATCGTCGTGCTAGCCGCCGTGGTGCTGCACGACGTTGTCGCACTCGAAAACGTACTGGTCGTCAGAGGCGTGCTGCAGCCAACGATGCACTGTGAGTCAGGGTGGTGGACGTTGCTGTTGTGCTGCTGGACGCGCTCGAGCTGGCCGCCGTGCTGCTGGGGCCGCTCGTACTGCGACCACGAGGCTGTGTTGGTCGTGGCCGTTTGGCTCGTGGACGCAATGCTGGTCGTCCGCGACGTACTGCAAGGCCGCGATGCACGGGACAACCCGGGGGAGGACCCTGCCCTATCCGCCAGCGTCGTGCTGCTGCCCACCATCGTGCTGGCCGACGTGGTGCTGCTCGACTGCGTTGAGCTCGTGAACGTACAATTCGACGGTGCGCAGCTCGCCTCGCCCCCCGCTCGCGTTGCTGCTTATTCAACGTGGAGCCCACCGTGGAGGTGGCCGTGAATCCAACCAGCCCTCTGGGCACAGGTGGCTTAACGAGCTTCGTATTCACTCTGCCACAGCACCCGCCGGCCCCTGCTCGGGGGAGAGGCTTACCACTGTCCCATGTTGTTGAATACACAACCTCCCCCAGCCGACAGGCAGCCAACCTGGACCAATCAGCCTCCCCACGACGAATCCAGGGACAACCAGAGAATGCCCTGCCAACGAACAAGACGCATGCGCGGACGCCCCTCGTCCACTTTGCCGACGCTCCCACGGCGGCCCGGCCCACTGCATGCTACTACGCTGCCCTGAACCAAGCTTCCCCCAGGCGAACGGAAGCACCCTGAAGGGGGGTGGCGAACAGCCGCGGATGGTAGATAATGCCACAGACAGCACGCACGGACCCTCCAAGTGAATACGCCTGAGACCTCCCGATGCCCAGCTGGGGAGCGGCAGACAGCCGCGGGATGGTAGGAAGAGGTTTCGCCTGAGACCAGCCGATGCTCTGTTGGGGTGCGGCTAACAGCCGCGGGATGGTAGGAGGTGGTTTCGCCTGAGACCTGCTGAACAAGCCGTGAGCGGGAGATTGTTAGGACATCGTTTCGCCTGAAACCAGCCGTTGCCCTGCTGGGGTGCGGCTAACAGCCTCGGGACGGTAGGAAAGGGTTCCTACTCCATGTATTTGCCGCAAGTGGGAGATTGTTTTGCCTGAGACATGCTGGTCCTCTGGTAGGGTGCAGCTAACGACCGCAGGATGGTGGGAAATAGCTACGCCTGAGACATGCCGCATGCAGCCACCTGGGGAAGCCCGGCGGAGGAGTAACCTGATGCCACAGTAGCCACGACCAGGGTGGAGGGGACAGGATAAAACCGACAGCAGACTGCGGCAGTGAGATGGGGGAAGTCACCGCGATTGCTCCGCCTGAGACATCCTGGTTCTCTGGTAGGGTGCAGCTAACAGCCGCAGTAATGTGGGAAAGGGATATATTCGCCTGAGACATGTTACGCCTGGGATGGACCGACGACCACCGGGGGTGAAGTTAGCAGCAGCAGAGTGAATGGAGACGGTCCCACCTGGGGTAACCTGAGCGGGAATGCAGCTAACAGCCGCATAACGTTGGATAAATGCAACGCCTGAGACATATAGGCCCTCTGGTAGGGTGCACCTATGGTAAGAAGTGGTTCCGCCTGAGACCAGCCGATGCTACGCTGGGGGGCGGCTGACAGCCGCGGGATGGCAGGAAGTGGTTCCTCCTGCGACCAGCCGATGTTCTTTTGGGGTGCGGCAAACAACTGCGGGAAGGAAGGAAATGGCATCGCCTGAGACCTGCCGATGCGCTGCTGGGGTGCGGCTGACAACCGCATAGAGATGGGAAGCGGTTTCACCTGAGGCATCCCGATGCACGGCCGGAGTGTAGCCGACAACCGCAAAGGAAGGGGGATGGCTTCGCCTGAGACATGCTGTCCTCTGGTAGGGTGCAGCTCACAGCCGCGGGGATTGGAAGGGGACCACAGCCCGTTCCACACCAGTGCAGCAGACAGCCGCAACGGCGTGGAGCGGGCGGTGGACACAACAGCCGAAGGAGACGACGGCCGAGACAGGCCTTGAGGGCAATCAACCAGAAGGAGGGTGGCGAGCCGCCACCGTGGAGTTAACCCTAGAGAAGCGTGGCACCAACCAGAAGGAGGGTGGCGAGCCGCCACCGTGGAGCCAACCAGAAGGAAAATGGCGAATCGCCCGGCAGTGTGCCCACCGTACAGTGCGCGGTCACTGTCGGCGACCACGTGATCCCGACCATCTCCCGGCGGTGCCTGGCGTCCCCTGTTCGCGCCTGCGTGGTGTCCCAGATGTTGCCTGCGCACCTGCGCCCAGTCGACTCCCAGGCCCAGTGAATAGCTCGTGGCCCGATCACCGCAGCTGTGGTTGTGAAATGAGGTGAGGAAAGCGACGCAGGTTCGCCGGTCGTGCCGACGCGGGTCGAAAGCGCGCGTGGTGCCAGGGGCGGCGTGTTGCTCAGCAAAAGGCGTGCCAGACGGGGGTGAACGACGCACCCAAGGTGACCTGAAGGTGCCTGATCGTCTCGTTTGGGGGCTCCCTGTGGGATTCCCAGCGGGAGTCGTGGACCCAGGCTTTATAGAGCGGCTTTCCAGTGTTGGAGTCCCGTGGTCCTGACTGCTGGCGATCGGCGAACAGATTGCACTTCCACCCACTTCCCGTCCGACGCGCCAGAGGTGCCCCCTGGTCGGGCTGACGGCCCGTCTCGGCGGTGGAGCTCACGCCCCCACCAGAGAGGGGGGGTCTGGCGCGCTTTGCAGGGATGCAGGGGTTGCCCCGTGGCTGCTTGTCGAGGCGCCCGCCCGTATCGAGTCGCAGGCGAAGGAGGACGAATAGGGGCGAAAGGGCTCCTCGAAACCAGCAGGAGGATGGCTTCGATGTCCCGCTCGCCAGGGGAAGGCTGACGCGCGGGCGCGGTGGGACTTCCAAGTGCCGTCTGGAGGGTGGATTCACTGTCGGGCTGCCCGTCGGGTTGGCTGTCGGGCTGGCCGTGGGGCTGGCCGTGGGACTGGGCGACAGGCAAGGCCTCAGGTGGAGTGTTGGGTTGGGCGTCGGGAGCGGTGTCGGGTGAGGCGTCAGACTGGTCGTGGGGCTGGTCGTGGAGCTGGCCATGGGACTGGCCGTGGAGCTGGCTGTCGGGCTGGCCGTCGGGCTGGCCGTTGGGCTGGCAGCCGGGCTGGCCGTCGGACTGGTCGCAGGGCTGGTAATCGGGTTGGTCGTGGGGCTGGCGGTCGGGCTGGCCACGGGGCTGGCCAAAGGGCTGGCTGCAGGGATGGTCGTGGGGCTGGCAGTCGGGCTGGCCGTCAGAATGTCCGTGAGGCTGGTCAAGGGAGCTGGCGGTCAGGCTGGTCGTGGGGCTGGCCGCGGGGCTGGTCGTGGGGCTGGGGGTCGGGCAGGCCGTGAGGCTGGCAGTCGGGCTGGCCGTCGGGCTGGCCGTGGGGCGGGCCGTCGGGCTGGCCGTGGGACTGGCCGTGGGACTGTCCGTGGGGCTGGCCTTGGGGCTGGCCATGGGGATGGCAGTCGGATTGGCCGTGGGGCTGTCGGTCGGGCTGGCCGTGGGACTGGCCGTGGGGCTGGCCGTGGGGCTGGAGGTCAGGCTGGCCGTGGGGCTGGCCGTGGCGCTGGTCGTGGGGGTGGCCGTGGGGCCGGCCGTGGAGCTGGAAGTCGGGCTGGCCGTGGGGCCGGCCGTGGGGCTGGCAATCGGGCTGGCCGTCAAGCTGGCCGTGGGGCTAGCAGTCGGGCTGGCCGTATGGCCGGGCGTGGGGCTGGCAATCGGGCTGGCCGTCAAGCTGGCCGTGGGGCCGGCCGCGAGGCTGGCAGTCGGGCTGGCCGCGGGGCTGGCAGTCGGGTCGGCCGTCGGGCTGGCCGTGGGGCTGGCCGGGCTGGTCGTGGGACTGGCCATGGGGCTGGCAGTCGGGTCGGCCGTCGGGCTGGCCGTGGAGCTGGCCGCGGGGTTGGCCGTGGGGCTGGCCGTGGGGCTGGCAGTCGGGCTGGCCACGGGGCGGGCCAACGGGCTAGCCGTCGGGCGGGCTGTGGGGCTGGCAACCGGCCAGGCCGTGGGGCTGTCGGGTTGGCCGCGAGGCTGGTCGCCAGGCTGGCCGCGGGGCTGGCACTCGGGCTGCCCGTGGGGCTGGCAGTCGGCCTGGCCGTCGGGCTGGCCGTGGGGCTGGCAGTCGGGTTGGCCGTGGGGCTGGCCGTGGAGCCGGCCGTGGGGCTGGCAGTCGGGCTGGCCTTGGGGTTGGCCGTGGGACTGGCCGCGTGGCTGGCAATCGGGCTGGCCTCGAGGCGGGCCGTCGGTGGGGCTGGTCGGGCTGGCCGTGGGGCTGGCAGTCGAGCTGGAGACCGTCGGGCTGGCCGTACGTGGGGCGGGCAGTCGGGTTGGCCGTGGGGCTGTCCGTGGGGCTGGCGGCCGGACTGGCCGTGGGGCTGGCAGTGGGGCTGGCCGCGAGGCTGGCAATCAGGCTGGCCACGGGACTGGCTGTCGGGCTGGCCGTCCGGCTGGCCACGGGACTGGCCGGCTGGCCGGGCTGGCCGTGGGACTGGACGTGGGCAAGGCGCTGCCGCCGCCGCAGGGCGGCGCCGGAAGCCATCGCGACGGGGGGCCCGGCGCGAACCTGGACCAGGGGCGGGCTCGGGCCGAGACGGTTTGAGCCGGACTACGGAGCTGGTAGGGATATTTTTTGATCAAGAGGCTCGCGAGGCGGGTCGAAAGCCGTCCGAACACTAGTCGGGCCGCGACTAGGCAGCATGAGAAGAAAGGCAAGACTGGTGGGGATACTTCTTGTCAGCAGCCGCAGGCGAGCGCGCCGGCGGCGAGTCCAGTCAGAGCGGGGCGCGCAAAGACGAATTAACCTAAAGCGGTGGGCCGGGGCCTCACGCAGCACCTCGGCGGCGGGCCGGCGAGTGGAAAAACTGGTGGGGATATTTTTTTAATCAGCGGCCACGGGCGAGCGCGCCGGCGGCGAGTCCAGTCAAAGCGGGGCACGCAGCGACGAATTAACCTAAGGCGACGGAGGGAGGCCACACCTACAGCGGCAAACCGAGCCCTCTCGCAGCAGCCCAGCGGCGGACCGGCGGGTGGGGGGACAGCTGAAACGGAGTTGAACTGCCAGCGTGCAAGCATGCAAAGCGTCGGACACCAGGGAGTCGGGACACGCGACGACCCGGGCCAGAAGCCGAAATTCATGCAAGGACGCATCCCCTACTGGTGGGGATTTTTTTTTTGGTCGCGGCCACCGGCGAGAGCGCGGGCGGCAAGAAATTGCCCGGGCCTATTATACGGGCAAGCCTAATTAGCTGCAGGGCGCAACTCCGACGGGCCGGGCCAGCTCACAAGGCGGCCGCTGGGGCAGCAGGGCGAGGGCTAGCCGACTGATGGGCACCCAGGGAAGCTCGAGCATCGTGCAGCCCAGAGCAAAATGCCAAGGAATTCGGCGTTACGCGCTGCGGCGTCAACCGCACGGATGGAGGCGCGGGAGCACTGGTGGGGATTTTTTTTTGTTTTGGTCGCGGCCGCGAGCGAAGAGCGCAGGCGGTGAACAGGGTGTCCGGGCCGACGGGCAAGCCTATAAGCTACTGAGCGCGACACAAGCCGGCCGGGCCAGCTCACAAGGCGGCAGCTGGGGCAGCAGGGCAGGGGCTGGCTGGCTGATCTGGGACGCCCAGGGAAGCTCGAGCAACGTGCAGCCCAGAGCAAAATGCCAGGGAATTCTGCGGCGTCAGATCACACAAGTGGAGGTGCAAGCTGAAACAGGTGGGTGACCTGCACGTGCAATCCTCTCATGCTGGGTGGGCGTTTAGGCGAGAAGAACGATGGGCGGGTCGCCAGTGGGGCGCCGGGCCCAGGGCCGCCCCAGCGGCGCGCGGGCTAAGGGATCTGAGCTGCCGAGGGACGTCGGAAACCTGCCTGATGAGGGGGATGAGTCCAGGGTGCTGTTGCGACTGCAGAAGGCTAAACCACTCCGGCGCGATCACAGTACCCAAAGGGCCATCGTCCCGTGCCCGATGGAGGCCCGGACGTCAGTGTTTGCCGGCCCCTCCAACAACGGCGCAGAGCCGACGTACGCCAGGTGGACAGTAGAATAAAGCCAGGCTGGCGTGGTGAACATCGCCAGCGAGGCACGGGGATCCAGGGAGGGCGCTGCGTGAGGCCAAGCTGGTGGGAGAGAAAAAAACGCCAGCCAGGAGGGGCGTCCAGGGTGGAACTGCGCGGCAGCTGCCGCCTGATGTACGATCTGGTGGGGGTGCATTTTTGTTCGGCGGCTCCACGGAAAAGCCCAGGGAGCGGTCACAACGTCCGGGGCCCGGTACATTGTAAATTTGCGAATCCAGCGACCGCACCTGCAAGCATGCTCGCAGTTGCACATGCACAATACAAAATGCACAAAATTCGCAATGAGACGCATCTTAGCGTCGACAGGGGGAACAGGGCAACGGGAAGTCGCCGAAACGGCGCCAGCTCAAGCAAAGCGACGAAGGGGGGGAAGAGGAGGGACCGAAAGCGAGCGACTACCACAGGCACACTGCAGCCACACGAATACGATGTTGCGGCTAAGCGGCCTGCCTCAACAAGGCTCACTGAAACTGAAGTGTAACTGAACCTCGACGACGCGCCATGCAGTAGAAAGACCACTGGTGTGGGTTCGCGAGGCTGAGCCACCTCCAGCCAAAGCCAGCGCGTGCACATCGTACCCGACTCACGCAGTTCGGGGGCACAACGATGCGGGGTACTGACGGGGGCTGTGTGCAGACTGCTCTGCCAGGGGGAACGACCACGAACTGCAGAAGGCTGAACCACTCGATGCAGGGCCGCCCCCTGCAGACGCCAAACGGTCAACGCAGGGCCGCGCACTGCAGAAGGCTGAACCACTCAATGCAGGGCCGCTCCCTGACGACGCCAAACCCTCAATGAAGGCCGCTCCGGGTTTCACCGAAAGTATGGCTGACGGCAGCGCCCGATCCACACTTCCAGCCAGTAGCCAGTGATGCACATAGTCACCGACTCACGCAGTTCGGGGGCACGATGCAAGTACTGACGAAGGCTGGTGGCCGGGGCTGCGCAGAAGAGGCGACCACGCACTGCAGAAGGCTGAGCCACTCGATGCAGGGCCGCACTCTTCCAAAAAGTGTGGCTGAACCGCGTCGGAGCGCCATCCAGTAGAGCAGACCACTGGTGTGCGTACGCGAGGTTGCGCCACCTCCAGCCGGTAGCCAGTGCATGTACAGCGTATCCGACACACGCAGTTCGGGGGCAGAACGATGCAAAGTACTGACGAGGCTGGTAGCCGGGGCTGCTCTATGGCTGCGCCAAGAAGTGCGACACGAACTTGAACCGCAGAAAGCTGAACCACTCGATGCGGGGTCGCACGCACGGCCCGATACTTCCTGGGCAGGGGCACTCATCAGCGACCGATGCAATCTGCTCGGCTGATCGGTGGGGGGCGCAGCCGAAAGCCGCAGAGACATTGTGAATGTTCCCAGATGAACGGTGGGGGCCGCAGCCGAAAGCCGCAGAGACATGCACCACCTCCAGCCGGTAGCCAGCGCATGCACCTCGCATCCGACTCACGCAGTTCGGGGGCGCAACGATTCAAAGCACTGATAAGGCTGGTAGCCGGGGCTGCTCTATGGCTGCGCCGAGAAGTGCGACACGAACTTGAACCGCAGAAGGCTGAACCACTCGATGCGGGGTCGCCCGCATGACCCGATGCTTCCTGGGCAGGTGGCAGGGCGGGCGCACGTCAGCGACCGATGCAATCTACTCAGCTGATCGGTGGGGGGCGCAGCCGAAAGCCGCAGAGACATTGTGAATGTTCCCAGCTGATCGGTGGGGGGCGCAGCCGAAAGCCGCAGAGACAGTGCGCGACGCGAACTTGAACCGCAGAAGGCTGAACCACTCGATGCGGGGTCGCACGCATCACCCGATACTTCCTGGGCAGGTGGCAGGGCGGGCGCTCTTCAGCGACCGATGCAATCTACTCAGCTGATCGGTGGGGGGCGCAGCCGAATGCCGCAGAGACCTTGTGACTGCACCCAGCTGAACGGTGGGTGGGGCGCAGCCGAAAGCCGCAGAGACATATGAAAGAAAGAGGAGGAGGAGGAGGAGAAGGAGGAGGGGGCGCCGACAAGGCCCGGGGCGCGACTGATGCAGGCGGCCGGGGCTGCTCAGAAGAGGCGACCAGGCACTGCAAAAGGTTGGGCCACTCAATGCAGGGCCGCGCGCTTGCTAAGGTGTGGCTGATCCGCGTCGGAGCGCAATCCAGTAGAGCAGGCCGTTGGTGCGCGTGCGCGAGGTGGGCCGCCTCCAGCCGGTAGCCAGTGCATGCACATCGTATCCGACACGCGCAGTTCGGGGGCTGGTAGCCGGGGCTGCTCTATGGCCGCGCCGAGAAGTGCGACGCGAACTTGAACCGCAGAAGGCTGGGCCACTCGATGCGGAAGCTCACGTGACCCGATGCTTCCTGGGCAGCTGTCAGGGCGGGCGCACGTCAGCGACCGACGCAATCTACTCAGCTGATCGGTGGGGGGCGCAGCCGAAAGCCGCAGAGACACTGTAAATGCACCCAGCTGAACGGTGGGGCGCGCAGCCGAAAGCCGCAGAGACATTGTGAACGCCAAGGCCCGGGACGCGTCTGTTGCAAACTCTGTTGACGGGGGGTGGCGCAGCCGAAGGCCGCAGAGCCATTGTGAATGACGCGGAGCGCGGTGCGGTGGGTGCTGTCGACCACCGACCGCTGTCGTCCACTGCATACCTCGACCACGGACGCCTCCCGGTTTCCAGCGGGAGCCCCGTCCTCGGCCTCTGGGGGCCGGGTGGGACCTGCTGCAGGGGCAACGCGCGCGCGGCCTGACCCCTTGCGGGGAGAGGAAGGGGATGCACGGCATGCCCGACAACAGCGCGACATAACCAATGCAGGGATGGTATATTCCATGGAGATGCACGGCGCGTCCGACAACAGCACGTCAGAACCAAGAGAAAAAATGTATGAGACCCCCAAACGCGCTGATGAAAACGGTGTACAACTCGTTATCAACAGAGAAAGTGGATCTCGGAGTAGAAAACCCGACTGCCCACGGTGCAGCCACAAGCGCAGCGCGCAGATAGAGGAGAAAATTGCTGAGGTCGACGGTATGGCCACACACGCAGCACGTAGACAACAGACAAGGTGAATAACTATAAGTTCTGAACGAAGCAGAAGTCGAGACACGTCGCAGGATGCGCCGGGCAGCAACGGGCCTGCTGCCAGAGACCATCCTCCTCGCACCTGCCCCCCACGAGTGCGATGCCGCTTGCAAAGTGTGAGCCAGCAGAGTGTGTCTGCAAGAGCCCCATCTATGATTGGACATCCAAGTGACATGGTAGCAGCCGCACGCCGAGAATGACAGCGCATAAGGGGGGCGCAGCTAACCGCCGCGAGGCGCACTCTCAGTAGGGCAGCGACGGGCCTGCAGCCAGTGACCGCTCTCCAAGCACCAGATCCCCGCGTGTGCGATGCCGCGAGGGGGGTAGCAAGGCTACTGCGGGGAGACGGCACACCAATCTTTCTTGCGCTTC